AAAAAAAAAAAAAAAAAAAAAAAAAAAAGTGCAAAAGCATGGCAGTGAAATTTGCTATGGCACTGGCATAATCGGCGGCCCTGTGTTAAGAGGGCATGCCAGGAAGGCTATGTGGTGACATTGGGGTGTAAGATGGATGATGAGAGCATGCTGACGTGGCATTTCAGCCGAGGTGGAACTGCATTGCATTGTATGTTGTGCCGAGGCAACGACTGGTCATCATAAATGCACGTCAGGTTAACTGGTGAGAAATCTGTGGTTGGGGGCAGCATTATGAGGTACGTTGTTCCTTACCTTATCTACCCTCTTCATCGCTTCTTACCGTGAGGAAAGTGAGTTCTGTCTTGAGAGTCTCTCATGGTGAGGTGTTGTGTGCGCTCAACCTTGAGAGTCAACATTCTTCCTGGGGAGCATGCTGGTGGGAGAGGGCGCTGCCATCTGAAGGGCCCTGGACAAAGAACTTGTGTCACGGTCATGCCAACCCAGCGGGAGGAGAGCACACATGCTTCGCTGCTTTGTCCTTTGATCTGCTTTGCTGCTTTGTCCTTTGGTCTGCTTTGCTTCGCTATAGACGTCGTGTCGGGCAGGCCACCCTATGCAGGATAGATGAGTACCGGACCGTCTATAAAGGGACTCCGGCGGGGACATTCTGCTCACGCCATACGCTCTAAAAATAATACGCACAGGGCTGGCCGGTCTTGCACTGACCTGGGGCACAGGGGTCGGGCGTGTGCACACCTCTAGACACAGTGCTCTATCCAGAGCTTATAGGACGTCGACGACAAGAGACATCAAGAAGGATTGAGGGGGTGGGCTGATTCCAGTTGGCTGTTCGATTGTCAATTCTTTCATTATTTCCATTCAACATACATTCCAGCAAACAATTTTATTTTTATTTTTGACTAGTTCGTTGTGACGGACTTGCTCACATTAGGGGGTGCAAAGGAGATCCCCATTGAGCAAGTTGGCCATGGGCAGCAACTTGAGGGAGGTCAAGTAGTTGGAGGGGGTGACTATGCGAGGGGAGGGCAAGAAGGCTGAGGTGGAAGAGGAGGCCGGCGGTAGGCCACCTAGGGGTTTGGAGGCGGAGGGGCTTCCAAGTGTGTGGAAGGGGCTATGGTACCGCACAAGGTGGTCATGGACCCTCCGCTTTCCAAGGGGGAGGAGAGCGCAACTATACCCTCTCCAATAACAGTGGTAACGGGTTTAGGGGGCCACACAAATACCCCCCTAATCCAGGGAGTGAATAAGGAGAGC